ACCTGAAATGATGCATCGCTCGCCGCGTAAACGCTCCGCTTCCAGACTTTATAGACCGATAGTTTTTGTGTTCTAACATGTTCGAGCTCTGGTCGTCTGCGTGTGGGAGATTCAATACCGAAAAAAATAAAACCGTAAGGAATACATAAACGAGTAGCACTGGCGTTCCGCTGATATGGTTTGACGGCTCGAGTTGTAAAATGATCCTGCAGGTTTGTCATTGGTCAGATGTGGCGGAATCACCTGCTTACACGAATGTCGCTTTAGCTACACTACTGCAGATTTTCGTTGCGTTGTTTTATACATATGGGTTCTCTTTGTTGCAAGTATCAGCCGTTTTGTTCAGTGTTTGTATTCTTAGGTTTTATACACCGGTGCAGTCATATCGAATTGTGAACTACACACACAAACAAAATCAAAAACAAAAATTAAACAAAAAACAAAAACAAAAAACATACAGACACACGTCACCAAAACATAAATACAAAAACACTCTAAAGGCCGGCTTAGACGGTACGATTTTCGCCTACAACTATCGTATACAATACGCTCGCGTCTGTCGTAGGCGAKTTGTAGGCTTGATTTACACCCTACGACTCGAGTTGTAGGATGGCGCGAGCGTGTTGTATACGACAGTTGTAGGCGAAAATCGTACCGTCTAAACCGGCCTTAATGAGAAAATGAACAGCAACACGACAATCAAGCAAAAGGATTCACAAGGAAAAAAAAGGGGGGATGAACACAGCATTAGTTTGACAGCTTTGGTTTCTTTTAGCAAGGAATTGAGAGCAAGCAAAATTTTTGAAGAAGATCCCAAAAAAAGTAAAAAAAGAAAGTAAAAGAGAGAAAGAAATAAGAAAACACTGAAAAAATTTCTAAGAAAACCAACAACTGAAAAAAGTCATTATCAAACTATAAAAAGAGAAAAAAAAAGAAAGGAAAAATATAAAAGAAGAGTTCAAAAACATCATCAAAACAACAGTAACACAAATATAATATGAGCAAKAGTTGAAACCTTTTGATTTCCTGACAGCTATCATATAACGCGAGCGAGCATTTTCATGAAGCTCATTCCCAAAAACACAAGGAAGGAAATGAAGTTCTTCACTGAACAACAACAACAAACATATGAAATTCCTAATAACAAAACAGTTCAGCGTTTTGCTTTTAAATAAATTTTATTGCCTCAATAAAAGGAATTTGGTTTAGTCCAAAACGGTTCAAAAATAACACAGCATCAAACTATCCAACTATTTTTTTTAGAAAAATGTAATTTCGAGATCATTTATAAACGAAACGATAAAAGATTAAACTAATTCTGTCATTATATTACTAAATTACACTTTTCTAGCCTCTGAAATTGTTGGAATTTTCTCTATTATTTATGAATTTATAGAAATAAATATCCCTAATGTTTTTATAAAAGAGATATTGAAGAATTAATTATYCTATTTTAGGCTTATTTTCTATCTTCTAAAAAGGGCGCCAAAATATCATTTTCTGCCATTTTGACGCGCGTTCCTGTCGTACTGGTGACGTTTCCCTAAATGTCAATCATTTATGCTAATGTCTTATAAAGCCATTCAGAAGCGCTGTTCAAAATATGTCCTCTGTTAATGAAAACTTTTGTTTTTCACGTTTTAAAAGGATAATAGGTATACTTTGTTGCTTTTGTTGAGATATTGACACTAGGGATGAATAAACTGATTAAAGAGTGTCAGGTTGTATTATTTTAAGGCGTCAATGTGGAACACCTTGCACAAAGAAATGACACTTCGAACGTACAATTAAAACGGCTTCGAGATTAAGCCAAGAACCAGGAACAATATAAGATTTAGCAAAGTTTTTGTTTTTCGCCAGCTCCTTACGGAGAAAAGTTTTCATCTTTTAGCAGATAAATAACTTGACGTTGTCAATTATGCTTTTTCCTTTTCTAAAAAAAACGACTTCAATTTCTTTAGATTAAGTCTAGGTCTAGCCACGAACAGCAAAAAGATATCATAACTGTCAAGTTTCCCTCGACAAAATTCTCGAGTTTATAAAAACATCTATCAAGTTTCTCCAGTGTCTGTCAATATATATATAACATTTTTCCTTTTCGTCTCGCTTTATGTCATTAAAGTCAGGGTACAAACGACAGCTATCTTATGCTTTTCTACGACAATTCCCCATTTTAAGCTGTCATTTAAATAAATTTCAACCAAATTTTAAAAAATGAATTAAAGCTTAAAAATCATTCAATCCAACCTTTCCTTATGAAAGCAAACACTAGTAAAATTCAACTAGTATTCAGCTAATCTTGACGCAGTACRTCAAAGAAATTATATCTAAATGCTTCGACCATTAAAAAGCTTTAGAGTAATGCAGGTGTACCGGTACATGTTTTTGATTACCAGTTAATGATATAATTTATCAATTACGCTTTGAATAGTTACCGTGGATGTAAATAACAATATTTGGTTTCATCTGGTAGGTCAGTCGTGCGCAACACACATGGCCGGACCGGTGCCCATGTCTGATCAACGTGTGTTCATCACGTTCGGCTCGTAGCTTTTATAACAGAAGTTGGCAGTCTGCTCTCGTCTTATCTTTCATTTATAAAGCTATTATAGAATTCTTGGGCATAAAAGACCCGAGATAAAAGCTTGGGTTGCCCAAGCTAAGCCGGTTGGACGACGACAATGATACAAATGAAAAGGACTGAAGCAGATGCAGTCGGAAACTTTGGAAATAATTTCACTGTCTCGGAAAAATTTCTGTCTTTCAATCCTTTCTTGCTCTCTCCTATATGTTTCCGACAACTTACAATGGAAAGGCTCGACATCCATTAAAGACCTGGCGATGATATTACATGCCACGTTTCCTGTTTTAGTCTTCAAAAGCTACAGGTTTTCCTACATATGTTTATTCATGTTGACAAGACTGCCTTAAATCCGTTACTCCAAGGTTCTCGTGACAAAAGAAAAGTTCATTTCAATGTCACTAGTTTTACTACTGAGGTCATTACTGCACCTGTAATCGTTCTAGCCTACCATAGGCTTCAGAATACTGTAAAAAAAATCTCATTTTATTCAGTTTTGTCTCGAAAATCGGACCCTAGATATATTTATATTTTAGTCTATAAATCAAAATAAAGCAAAAATAGTATGCGCAATGAAATTCCCGTATGTAGACTATTTTAGGATAAAACTGAGAGCATAGCTATTAGAGAGGGGACTGGGTTCTCTTTATTAATTAACTGTGCTGAGAGAAGACAAAACCTGAAAACCAGAACGAGCGAGAAATATATATGACGTCCCATCCAGCGGTTAAGTACTAAAGCGACTTGATAAATATGCCATAAGAAACCCTTTAGCAGCTATTTCATGTCATTTAGATGGCAGATGCAATCTACTGCAGCTGGTGAGTCAGCGTTAGTCAGTATGTTAATACTTTAGCCGCATAATCAGACTTACTGATCTGGAATCCGATTACATGACAATGAGAGCTGAAGCGTATACCAACAAAGTGAAAGGGAGAAATTGTCACGAAATTCGCGTAAAAATATTTACGAAGGATTTCAATGTTTTTTGTTTTTTTTTAACATTATAGATAATTCCATCATAGAAAAAAATTTATCAGGAAGAAAGCCCAATTTAGATAAAAGTAAAATGTGAAAATAACATCGGAATAAATCGATTTTAACTAATTTTGTTTCGTACTCGAGGTCAAGATTATGTCYTCCATAATAAATGTTAACGAAAAAWTGAGCAAAAATACAGTAYGACTTTTTTGTCGCACCCGTTTACGAATARCTTCCTAGTTAGTTAGCCTGCGTTGCTCAACGGTCTGCGGTGTTACCCTTTTCTTCTTTCTCTTAATTAGTAACACCGCAGACCGTTTAACAACGCAGGCTAGTAACCCCCCTACCCTCTCCTCCCTTCCTCGCACTAAAGTATTCTTTCATAACACTGTACACCTAGCCAAATTGGCGGGAAATAAACAAAGAAATAAGCAATGAAAAAAAGGAACGAAGAAAAGAAGAAGNTGTTCTGGTGTGGAATCGGTGAGTCTTGAAATATACGATCACAAGAAACTACAAAAAAAAAAAAAAAAAAAAAAAAAAAAAAAAAAAAAAAAAAAAAACAAGAAAAAACCTAGGAGTTCTTTTCGAGAAATTTGTTTTTTATGCCTCTTATTTAAAATAATTGTTAAGTAAACGAAGCAAGTCGTCAATGAGTCGACCTGCCGATAAAAATCTTGAAATACCAGCAGCGATAGAACCATACCTCGTAATAAAAAATCACTATAATTATCTATAAAAACTATCTCTCACAACAAGCTATTACTTTACATAATCAATAACCAATTCAGTCATTGTCRAACATTCCTTTGAGACTTCATTTCGATTGTTCTCGGATTTCCTCGCTCCAGATGATGTCTAGTTAATAATTTATTAGCAAATATATAGTCATTAATTTTTTAAATCAGTAAACTTCAGTACGCATTACGACTGGCATCGTTTAGTTTTACTGAATTTAATAAATGTTCGAAGCGTACGTTTGCTTATAGAGTAAACCATTTTTCTTTTATTCGGAATTGTATCCTTTATTTGATATCCCAGCACGTAAATATGGTTATTATATATTGTCTAATATAATATTGAAACAGGAGCYTTGATCGATTAATCATTAAAAGAAAGCGAAAACATTCAATTACGATTCTGAAATTTAGAATATAAAATAACTATCAAACACTCTTTTGCGAGGCTCAAAAACCCATCTTTAAGATCAGCTCCAATGTATCAGAATATTTAGATTTATTTTGTAAGAAAAAAGATGCTAAAATTCCGCTTCAAAATGTAAAGTTTCATGGTATTTCAGTGACAGAGGATCGATTTCTCAAGGTCTTGACACCCGGAATTCACCATATTGAATTTTTAGGCTTCCCCAATTGCAATCCAGATGTTTTGCTTGGACGATARAAGCCCCTAGGTTTAAGATTTAAGAATGTGGACTTACCTCATGAATTCGGGGTTTATTTCGGTTCTAGCGTGGTACTCAAAGGGGACATTTTGCCTCGGATCATACTCCTTCGCTGAACCATCTCCGGAAGACGCGACAAAACACCTCGTCATAACATCTGCCGTTTTGGTATTTTCTTCTCCAGYGTAGCGAGCCAAACGATGTTCTGTCCGATTYTCCAAACGCCGGCCAAGCAGTCCTTTCTGAACCGTTGCTCTGCCTCGAAAGATCTGCACATCCATCGTGACTGTTTGATTTTTCGCTACAGTTTTTACATTAGAAGGTTTCGAAAAATAATGACATATGGCTACTGAACCCACTTTGTTGTAACGAGTGTCACTCCAGAATTAGGGTCTGATTTTCGAAGATAATCCTAATGTTTMACAGATATTTTGAATGATAATTCAACAAACAGCAGCAGATTGAAAGTACGTGCAATCATTGAATGAACCGCGTCTCAAATACATTAAGCCGTTGTCCTTGGATAAGYCTTGATAATATTTTGTGTAATGTATACCAGAGAAAATATTTACACGAAACGCCAAAAACCAGGTGGACGAAATATTGTTCCACTCCTCACGGCCAAAATGTCTTGAATTATTTATACACGTAAAAATTCTCTCTTGAATGTTCCATCACAGCAAACRACGATCTATTGAGCGTAGAGCGGCGAGAAATGAACTTCGTAACCTTTCGATAAATGAACTGAGTTGAGAGAAGTCGTGTCCTTCCGGCTTGAGTAGTCTTTGAGTGATTCTTGTCTTGATTGAAAAGCCAAATATTCGACAGTTTATCGACCAGCTACAAATATTAATACGTCTTTTAAGACTCTTTAGACTAAACTATCCAATCACAAGGCTGAATTCCTCCAGCGATTATGCTCAACTCGRGAATCAGCTGTGTTACAAATTGTACGCAAATCGACTATTTTTCAGTCTTGCCTTTTTCAATTYCAAAGTCAACTCTACCATTCCCTCAATGTGCGAGTTCGTACATCATATTTGTYATTACCTCTTGCTTTAGTTTTTCTGAAAGATAATATAAAACCATCATGGACAAATAGTTTTTCTTAAAAGATGGTTAGTACAAAGTGCTTGTTTTGATAGCCGCAGGTGCAGAGGAGAAATGCAGCCCACCTTTATTAWCGTGTTGAATGGTCTTGGTTCATTGTGAGCGGTATGACATCAGTACAATCGTCTATTTTTCCGCGCGCAGATGTTTACCTGCTTCGATTTTTTA